CAGGGACCCAGATGGAGCCTAGGGAGAAAGGCAGGTGCCCATGCACTGGAAGTTGGGGCCACCAGATCCTGTGGTTTCTGGGCTTTTATGGGCTGTTTTCACCCAGAGTTTCTTTAGGGTGGGCGCTTCTTCCCTGGGCCTCTCAGAACCCCCAGATTGCACTGTCACCCACCCCTGTCCCTGTTCCTCTCTGGGGATGTCACTGTGCCAGAGACAGCGCCCACCTACCCAAGTGGTACTGCTGAATTTGGAGACGAACAGCCCCCAGATGCAGGACGCTGAGCCACTGCACCAAGTAAGCGTGGAAGATTCTAACAGGAAGTCAGGGAGGCTGGGGAATTGGGCTCCTCCCAAATGTCAAGAGGGTGTCAGCTTCCTCTGTCCCTGCATGGGGCCAGGTCTGTGTAATGGTAGAGCTGAAAGTCCTCTTCTTAAAGCAGCACATGGGAGAAAGGTGTGTGTGTCTGTGTGCATCTGGCTCTGTGTGTGTGTGACTGGGCTTGTGTGTCTGGGTTTGTGTTTGTCTAAGTGAGCTAGTGTTGTGCATGTATGTGTATGCTGTATGTTCATATCTCTCTGTGTGCCTGGCTTTGATGTGTCTGTGTCCAGGTGTGTGTGTGTGTTTGTGTGTGTGTGCCTCGGCATGTGCATGCATGTAATTGTGAGTGTGAGCATGCTGCATATGTCTGCATGTCTCTGGATATATCTCTGTCTAGAGGGGTGTGTGTGTGTGTGTGTGCATCAGTGTGCATGCTGAGTCTGTGTGTGTGTGTGTGTGTGTGTGTGTGTGTATGTATAAACCATGTGGGTCTGCTTGTCTCTGTGTGTATCTGGGTTCTTTCCAGATGTGTGTCTGAGTGGTGTGCATGTGTGTGAGTGTGTGTCAGCATGCTGTGAGTCTGCATATATGTGTGTGTGTCTGGGTTTTGTGTATGTCTCTGTGCCTGGGTGTGTGTGCACATGTGTTAGGTGTGTCTGTGTCTGCGTGTGGGGGTGTCTGATGGGAAGCCTCAGTGAGCTGAAACTTGGCCCTTTGTTAATATCTGCCCCTCCATCCACCAGCTGCAGAGTAGTCTACCTGGTTTGCAGTCGACTGTCCAGCCTCAGGCCCGAGAGGCCCTGCTGGCATCTTGGGGGCCGGGTGTGTTCAGGGCTGATGTCCAGGGCAGAGCGTTCACTGGCCAGCCTGCCTTTCCTTCCGTCTCTGTCTCAGGGAGAGGTGGGAGCCTGCAATACCTCAGCCCTCTGGGATTCTGGGCCTTCCTTGGCATGGGGAACCCAGGGCGTTTCCTGAGACCCCCATGATGGAGGCCCCTGGGGCTCATTTGGACTTCACTGAGGGCTCAGGCTCATCGCACAGGAGGTTTTATTTTTTAATTGCGGTGACACTGAGAAAACGAACCGTCTCCAAGTGTCCACTTCAGTGGCATCTAGTGCATTCCCTCCCCTCTGCTCTCCTGTTCCAGAACCTTCTCCTTTCCCTGAAAGAAATCCAGTTCTGAGCAGCACCTCTGTCTGTTGCCCTGGTACCCACTTCTCTCCTCCTGTCTCTGGGAGGACCTGTCCTGGGTGTGCTGCACAAGTGGACCTCACAAATCCCACTTCTGGGTTGGCTTCATCCCCGTGGTGCAAGGCCTCGAGCTCAGTACCTGCCGTGGCATGAATGCCCTGTGCTGTCGGCCATTCTTGCACAGATGACATCTGGGCCGTCCTGCTGGCAGCCTGTTACTGGCACATTTTGGACAGGGCTGTTTCTGCTGCTGCCTGGTGACCCTGAGCACCCTGTGGTCTCTGAGCTGTGCTCTCTGCACCCGAAGGGTGTGCATGTGACTCACATCACCGTGGGCCCCGGGCTGGGAGGATGGCGATGGAGCCAGCCCGGCCCCTGTGCCTCCTTCCCGGGGCAGCTCAGGCCGGAGCACTGGGCATGAAGCAGCTGCTTGGCCTCCACTCCTCTGGTGTCCCCGGGGAGCAGGCTCTGTGAGAGGAGGCAGCACTTTCTATAAGCTCTACGCTAAAGAGGGATTACGAGCCATCTGGGGAGTGTATTATAGCAATTGCCCCCGGGACGAGTCTTATTCTCGGTGGCTTTCACTCTGCCCTTTTCCTGGACCTCAGAGTCGAGCCAAGTGGCCTTTTGTAAACACTTAGGCCATGCCGATCCCTTCTGCAGACACCAGCCCTGACCTGCAGCAATGAGGAATCCATGACCCAACCATACATGGTGGATGTGGCACTTCCCTGGTGGCGGCCTGGTTGTGAGCCTGTCACTTTTCACTTGAGACCAGTGTTCTTGCTCACTCAGAAGTGCAATGGTCAGGCTGCCTTGGCTCCCTGCACACCAAGGCCCCTGTTTTTTTGTGCCCAGGTCATTGGACAAAGTGGAGGTCTCACCACCCAGTGACATGTTTCCTGCTTTGAGAATCCACTGGATCATATTTTCAGAAATAAATGTGAAAGCAACAGCAAACCCAAATTAACCTGGACACAGTTCTTTAGAGTGCTCTTAAATGTCCCAAAATGTTCTGGAATGTCTCAGAATGTTCTGGAATATCCCAGAATGTTTGCCATCTCCCATCTGGTAGAATGGAGAAAAGCAAATGACAAGAAACTATGTTGATATTAGGGATTTAAGTTCTTGGAAAACACATTCTTAGGGATTCTGGCCAATATCCTGTCTCTTACTAACCTAGAGACAATGTGATAGGAGCACTGGCTGGTCCGACAGCATTCGCATCCCACTCCCCACACAGTTTCCTTTGTCCCTCACCATGGGAAGAGCTGGATGAGTTTGCTCGTGTTATAGGAGAAACTGAGTCCAAAGGATAACAATGATAATACTGACATTATGGCCACAGTCTGTAAAAATAAGAATGGCAGCCGAGGACAGTGAGGTATGGTGACTGTGTGACGGTCAGCATGCGCACATCCTCTTCCCGTGTCCTGACTGGGCCTGGGCTGTCCTAACAGGTGGGGGATCCCAGGCACAGAGGGCTGGCTCTCCCCTCATCCTCCTCCAGGTGGACAGGGCCTCCAGGCCCGCAGGCCCCGCGCCCCTCTCCGTTGTGTCCCCGCATGTCGCCATCCATCAGAGGGTGTCGCATGCTGATGTGGAAACCTTGTTAGCCCTGCTCTAATCTAAAAGATATTAGCCCATTATTTTTCCTGCTTCTGTAAGCCCAGAGACTGCACAAAATCGAATTCCTGGGTAACCAGAAAATGTAATTATTGGGAGCGTGGTCTTTCTCAGGGAAGCAGGCTGCGTTGACAGCCATATAACTGGACATGGGTGTGAGCCCAGAGAGGCTTCCGGAAACTACACTGTGACACATGCCAGCCCTGTCCCAGCTGTGCCGTGTCCCTGGGACTCACTAGCTGCTTGTGCTGTAGCCACGTGGAGGTGAAACCTCTCCCTGGGTACAGACCCCAAGGGGCTTAGTGGGAAGAATGAGTGCTGGCACAGTGTGAGGTGTCAGGGCAGGCTGGGCTTTGGGGAGCATTTCAGGCCCCCTTCTGCCATCTTGGGCTCAGCAAGAACCTTCAGCAGCCCTTGTGGTTGCAGGGGACCAGGGAACCGGGTGCTGTGTTCAGACCCTGCCTCCTCCGCTGCCTGCCCTGTGTTTTGGGATCTCTGGCAGAAAATTCCCTGCCGAAGAGAGGCTGGCTTCATCTGCACGCGCCTATTTCTGTCTCGTTGCCTGCCTCTGCTCTTCCTTTTTGACATTCAGCATTTTCAGACACAGGCTCCGCACAGATCCCTGTGAGTCACGCTGCTGTGGGGCTGTGGAGAGGCATCCTGGGCTCCAACCTCACTCGTCCTGCAGCCTGCAGAGCCCTGGCCCTCTGGCCGGTGGGGTAGAGGGCAGAGCGGTACCTTCCTGCCTGTCCTGGCTGGCGATGGGCTGCACTGGTGCAGAGACAGGGGGCTCTCAGCAGCGTCCCCACTGCTGTCCTGTGCCTGATACCACAGCAGCAGCCAGGGTCTGGGACCCTGCCTCAGTGACCGGCTTCCAGGTCTCACTGTACGCTGCCATGGTCAGGCTCATCAGGGGAGAGGGTCATGCTGTCAATGACGTTGGCCATGACCAGCGACGCTCACAGGGCCTGTGGCCTGCCCGGGAAGCTGCCCTCACTTCTGAATCCAGCAGTCACTGGGCTTAGTCACTCAGCCACTGTGGCCACCCTGTGGCTGGCCTTTGCTGAGTGGGCAACCCCAAGGCCCCATCCTAAATCCCAGAGCTGGACTCCAGGGCTGAGGCCCCTGGCAGGCAGGGACGTTCTGAAAGACAGGACTCCAGGGAGCTGACCAACTGCCTCGGATGCAACAGCAAAGGCCCTCTCTCTCCAGGGCAGAGTTAAATCTTCGCTGCCGCTCTGTGTGGCTTGCTCTGGGGACCAGGTGCCTCCTGTGATCCATGGCTGCTCAGGGGGTGGCACAAGCCAGTCAAGCTGCCCCAGAGGCTGTGTGGGCAGCAGAGCGGGTGCCTGGATGTGAGTGGCTGCTCTGCCATCCACAAGACCCTGCGTGAACTGCATGTGGATGGCCCTGAGTCTGTGGGCTCCTGTGTGTCATAGGGGCCCTGCTGTGGCGGCTGCATGCCCTTCTTCAGGCACAGCCATCCCTGCAGGTCACTGCTGCTCTTTCTGCACCTTGTCCTCTCCCCAGCGGCTCTGGGACCATTGAAGCTCAGGAGAGGGTGTGAGCAGTTGGTTCACCCCACCACAGAGGCCTGTGAGGCGGCCCCACCTCCCGCTCTGGCCTGGTGCTAGCGTTAGTCACACTCTGCAGTTTCCTCATCTCCTATGCGCTTGCTCGTTTTTTTTTTTTTTGTTTTTTTTTAAATTTTTTTCTAAGCCAGTTCCAAAAAAAGATGATTTGTGTGGAGGGAGTGAAAATTGAGTTTATTTACGACAAATCAGTAGAATCCAAACTTTGGCAAAGAGATCCACAAGAGGTCCCTGGCTGCTGAACCCTGTTCGTGTGCGTCACTGAATGTGGCTTCCGGTCCAGCTGGCTTGGGGAGACTTTGACCCTGGCCCTGGGCCCCAGGGTGCAGTCACTGACCCTGGCAGGCACCCTCCCTGCTCAGGAGCTGTGGGCAGCACTATGGAAAGGACTCTGTGACCGCTTTGCTGCTGTGTGAGACTCCGAGAGCAGGAAGACTGTGACCCAGAAGGTGACTGCTGACAGTGGGGGGGGCTGAGGGGGACAGTGCTGGCCCCTTCTCTGTCATCTGATGTGGGAACACCACACCCTCGAAGAGGTCTTCTCTGTGCATGTGTGACTGCACCAAGGGCCAGCAGCAGTGATGTGGCCGCTTACCCTTCAGGCAGACTCCAAGAGGTATGGTGACTTTGACCTTGCATCGACCTTGCATTAACTGGGCTCCAAAAGTTAGAAGATAAATCAAGGCACAAAGGTGCCCCCCATGTTCTGTGTTGCTTTCTTGAGAGCAGTGGGCTGGGATTCAGGAATATCTGGACTGTTCTGGAGCATGAGGGGCTTGAGGCCAAGTCATAGGCTGAAGCAGGGCCACAAGGAAATGTCCCATGGCCGAAGACTCAGCTCCTCATCCTTTAATCTCAAGTAAAGTGTACTCTATCGGCTCCTCTGCTCTCTTCTGGTCCCACCTGCTCGGGCTGTGTCCCATTCCAGGGAGGACATGGTCCTACTTTGCTCTTGGCCCACACAGTTTGAAGAGTGTAAAGAGGACCCAGACTTGTGCTCACCACACCTCTCCTGGTTTCCTGGCAGAGATGCTAGACCATACTAGTTGTGCAGGAGCCATGGAGGGAACCTTCTGGAATCTTCTAGAAAATGAACCTTCTGAGCCAGGCGTGGTAGTGCACACCTATAATCCTAGCACTTGGGAGGCTGAAGCAAGAGGATTGTTGTGAGTTCGAGACCAGCCTGGGCTACATAGTGAGTTCCAGTTCAGTCTCAACTACATAGTGAGACCCTGTGTCAAAAAGAAAAAAAAAAAGAACCTTCTGGAATCTTGTGAAAGGGAACCTTCTGGAAGAGAACCTTCTGGAACCTTCTGGAAAGCCTTCTGAAATGTTCTGGATGAGAACCCTGTTTGCTGTTTCCTGGTAGACCCCTGTTGCAGCAGTTTCCTGGCTGTTGGGTCAGGGCCTGTCTCATTCCTGGTGCCCTTTGTCTGCAGAGCATGTGGTCTGTTCCGTATCATCCTGCTGTGACTCCTGGCTCCTCCCACCTGTACAGGTGCTCCAGGGAGCTGGTTTGCATTCTGTTCCTCCCAAGTCACTCTGCCTCAGGGAAGCCAGCCAGGCCTTGTTAGCCCATGGGTGCAGGTGAGTGGCAGAGTCTGTGGGACTTTTGGAGCTGTATGTCTATCACTAGAGGGAGGCAGATGGGGAGACCCATCCCGGGAAGGGAGGTCGGGGCCACGAGAGTGACCTCCCAGGTCAGGAGGGCTGCCTGGTGATGTGTGCAGACCCCAGAGAAGGAGCACAACCATGGGCAGCGGTCACACAGAAGCTGGGTTAGATGGTTCAGTATCAGCAGGAATGACACTGCTGCAAGAGGGATCTGGCAAAAAAAGGAGCTCCTGTATGGGAGTGAGTTGCCCGAGAAGGGAGGCCATGTAAATCCAGGCTGAGGGACTTGTGGCAGGGATGCTGCAGAGGGGACCCTGTGGTGGATGGTCAAGGTGCCCATGCTGGCTCAGCTTTGCAGGGCTCCCCATTGTGGAGGATTCTGACTTCAGCCCCTGCCTCTGCTAACAAGAGGCGGCCTGTGTGTTCGGTGCCCTGTGGGGCACGTGGCTAAAATTAATTGTGTTTATTTATAGTGAACAAGTTCCTCAGATGGAGGTGGCCTTTGTCCTCTTCCCACGGCTCCTGCTCCTCTTGCCAGTGCAGAGACCGAGGGGTGGACATGGCGAGGAGGCACAGGCTGAGAGCAGCCTCCCTCCTGTCTGAAGCCACAGCTTGCGGTGCAGTGGGTGCTGAGCGGTGAGAGTGGGGATGCGTGGGCATTGGTCAGCAGGTGCTTGCAGGTGGGGAGAGCAGGCTGAGGCCCGAGGGAGTCAGTGTGGTTCTCACAGGAAGACACATGTGCACCCATGCTCAGGCCACTGGGAGCCAGCGAGGTGCATGTGCCCAAGTGGCTTCTGAGCTGTTACTGGGTCCTGGAGCCATTCTTGCTTCTGGTCTGGAGCCACCATGGTGCAGAAGTATGGGTGTCAAAAGAGGACATGGCACTGTCCCCTGTATTGGTGCAGCAGGCTTCCCTGGTGGCTGGGCAAGGGCTGCATGGATGCCTGGCTCCCTTGGCTGGGACCCTGCAGCAGGGTGGGCCAGATGTCCCTTGCTCCAGGCCAGAGGTGGACTTGAACACCAGGTCGTCCTATCACCTACTCCCGCATGGCTGTGAGAGCCAGGTGGAAATGCTCCAGGGCTGGGTGCTTCACGAGTGACCACAAACTCAGTAGCTGCAAAGAACAACTTGGTGACCATCCACCGTGTCCCTGGGGCCCAGAGTCTAGCAGCGCAGCTGTGCGCTGTGAGAGGTGGGGATCGGGCACCAGGCGGGCTGTGGTCTCACCTGCTGCTCACCTGGAGAGGCCGCAGCCATGTCTGTCCGCTGCCACAGTCAGCTGCTGTCTCCAGGAGGCTCCAGATAACTGTTAAGGGGACTTCTCCAGGGACCCACGGGCAGGGGCACTGACTGGAAAGCTCAGTCCCAGTCCCCGGAAACCAGTTAGCAGAGAGGTTGAGTAACTTGCCCAAGGCTCCCAGCAAGCACTGGAATCCCCACAATCAGGTGCCTACGCCCTTAGCTGGCCACTACAGAAGAGGCTGAGCACAGCTCTGAGCCCTGTGCCCTGGGCTCCATCACATCCTAGCCACCACCCTCATCATACGGCACCCGACCCTCGCACTGGGCTGTGTCCTGTGTCCCAGGTTCTAGAGCACAGACCCCCAAAAAGCTCTGGGCATCTGCTGGGCCCTGAGTGAGTGCATGACCCTGTGTCCTGGCTTCCTCGTTAGCACCCATTAGGTTCTTGCTGCTCACAGTTCCTGAGTTGGGGTCCTGGGGCTTCTGCATCAAAGTGCTGGACACTGGGTGGCTCAGAGCCACAGAGCTTGTCCCTCCCAGCTCCAGAGGCTGGAAGCCACACGTCCCAGTGTCCCAGCTATGCTCCCTTGATGGCCCCGGGAGGGTCCTGGGGATTGCTGCTCTGGCCTTGTGGACGACCGCGGCCCCTCCCATCCTCTCCCTGTAAAGACAGAGCTCCACTGTCACTTCTTAGGAAATAGCCTGTGTAGTGTCCATGTGTGTTCATGAATGTGAGTAAACACAACCCCCGCCTCACAGTGGGTCTACTCGCAATTTTTTTATTTTCCAGTGGTGCCCCCCCAAAGAACCTGTATTTTGCATCCTTACAGTTGAGCTTCTCCTGGGCATGCGGTCTGCATGTGATCCACTCTGGTGTTCAGCTGCAGACCCAGGTGGGCACGGTGGTACCACGTGCACTGTGACTGTGGGCTCAGGAGCTTCGGTGGTTGGGAATCGGTGTATTCTCCACTGATGATGCTTTCAGCTGTGATGGGGTCATAGGTCACAACCCCGTTGTATGTAGAGGGCCAATTGTGTGAGCATGTTGTGTGTGTGTGTGTGTGTGTGTGTGTGTGTGTGCGCGCGCGCGCGCGCGGGCGCACGTGCAGAGAGAATGCAATGTTTACTGTGAGCTGTCAGCTCAGGAGAATCTGTGGTTCCCAAGCTGGGGACTGTGGGTGCCAATGGTGCAGTTGCCATGGAAAGTAGGCAGAGACCCGTGTCTTGGCTCCTGGGGGTCAGGCCGAGGGAGCAGTTCCCTCTTGCTTTGTCTTCTCCCAAGATGCCTGCTGTTTGGACAGGACCCCACACTGGAGAGGCCAGCTGCTCTAGTCAGGCTGCAACTTCACGTGCATTGTCCCCCAGGACAGCCAGAGCCACATGTGGCCAAATACCCAGCCTCTGTGGCCCCGGCCACTTGTCAGAGTCAGCCTTGCTCCAGTCATTGGATCTAGGACCCTTAACCCAAGGGGGCCTCATGTTTACTTAAATGCATCTTCAAAGATCCTGTGTTTTCAGAACACCTGGGAAGATTGTATATAGAAGAAGGTTTACTGTGGCTCAGGATTTCAGAGGCTTCAGTCCATGGTCAGCTGCTAAGGAAATCGTCATGGCAGGTAGGGTGTGGTGGAGCAGAGGCTCACGGGGTGAGGGTGGGACAGGAGGCAGAGACAAACGAAAAACAGGAAGGGGCTGGGGACGAGGTACACCCTTCAAAGCTGTGCCCCCTGCAACCTGCCTCATGCACAACCTAACCAGCCCGCTGAACTGCTGACCCGTCAGTGACTTAATCAGTCTGTTTGATGAAGTCGGGCTCTCATGGCCCAGTCACTCCCCAAAGCTCTAAAGCCTGCTGTGTTGGCGATGAACTCTGATCACGACCCAGGCCCCCAGTGTCCATTTCTGTCACTTACAGAGCTGCCCCTAGTCTGGGACGGGTGCTGGGTGGAGCTGCCTTCCCAGATGTGAAGAATTAACAGCTGCGTTTTCAGGGGTACTGGACTTTTTATATAGACAAATAAAATTTGTTTCTGCCCCAGTAAAAATGGTGAAGTTCAATGTAGCATCACTGCTTAGGATCCTCGATTCCATCGGAGGCATCTTGCTGGCAGCGTTTTTATACGGCCTTTTGGTGGAATTGGAGTAGAACTGGCCCATTTCTCTGCAGGATTACATTTTAGTGTCTTATAACCTGCGCGATATATGAGCTAAATAATAGGTCTTCGGCATTAGAATTCGGGCAGATTTGGAAATATAGCAAAGATAAACTTCTGAGCAAGTTCTGTTTGAAACAGTCTTCTCCAGCACCCGTTATTGGTTCAAAATCCTGGGGGGAAGAGTTAAATAAATCAAAGAGACAGGTGCAGTTTTTAGATTAAACAGCCAAACTCACACAAAATCCCTTTGTCTAGACTGGACAAACATCAAGTGTTATTTCAGAGCGTTTGATGAAACGCCCCACTGTCAGCCCACGGCGTGCTAAAAGCCCACAGTGTTTGGTCAAGCCCTCTGGAAGGCCGTGTTTGCAGCAGCACGGACAGGGTGCAGAATTGCCACCAACTGCAGCCAACAGGGGTGCCAAGCGGGCCACACTGTCTGCGTACCTGCCGCCAGCCCAGGGCCAAGGAAGGAGGCTGGTGCTGCACATACTCACTGGAGGGCGGCCTGGGAGGGCGGCGTGTCTGTGCTCTCACCTACAGAAGAGATGCCTCCCGTGGGCCCAGGTGTTTCTGCTTATCCCACCCAGATTGATCCAGCTG